GATCCGACTTATGTCGGATCTGCAGTTACGAACAGGGCTTTTCTCGCCCTGGAGGACGCGAGCGGTGGGACGCCCAGATGCGCTGTGGTCCCGCCGCCCATGTCCTCCGGGGCGAGAAAAGCTGCTCCACGTCTCCCTGGTCTGCTGGGGGGGTGAATCTCTCCTGGGCATCTGTCCAAGTACTCAGTTTACAAAAAACACTGGAGGACACAACTTTGTTTTGTGGATAAAATGTTGCCTGCCAATGAAATTTGCAAAAAACCCTCTTTAATAGCTATCAGGACTTGTATGATAAATATTCTTTTGTAACATGATGCTTTAATCTTGTAGCCTTTGGGTTTGACTCAGCCAACCCTGTTAGTCATAAATTTGAGATTCCTTGAGATTGTTAAATTTTTTCATCAGTGAGCTTGATAGTGTTGTGGTAAAACTTGCTTAGCTAGTATTTTTGTGCATTCTAAAATCTGAATGTCCCCAGGCAAAATATTTATCTTGCTTTCTGCATAGTTGTATTGCTTTTATCCAATTATTCTACTACTTTTATATTCAAGATTATTTACCTATGAATAGTCCAGTGTGTTAAATTCATGTGTGTAATATTCTTCATTTTACAGGCAGTCCCCGACTTACGTCGATCCTTGGGCTTCCTGTAGTCAGCCGCTGGTCAGTTTCAGCAGCGGCTGAATCTGGACGCCAGTTCCGACTTACATACAAATTCAACTTAAGAACAAACCTACAGTCCCTATCTTGTACGTAACTCGGGGACTGCCTGTACCAAGATGTTTTCAGCAGATTAAAGTTACATACATATATTAGCTGGAGTTCACTGCAGACACAAGAACATAATAGGCTGGCAATGAGTTTATTTATAAATTGAATCTCTCTAGTCCGGCACCCTTGGAACCTGACCGGTGCCAAACCAGAGAATTTTCTAAACCACGAAAGGTCAGTATTGTCTAGCAGCATTACTAACACTTCCACTACTTTCTGGGTTCTTAAAACTAAACAACAGCACAGAACTCTGAGAACCAGGACTGGTGGCTGTAAACAAACTTTATGGGACTGCAGGAAACTTGGCCACTCCCAGGATAAATGGACATCCGGCTAACTAAAATCATGTTGGACCAGAGAGTGCCGGACTAGAGAGGTTCAACCTGCACTAATATTAGTGGTTGAGATCCTTGTTGTACAAGGGAGAATTGTCTGACTCCGGTATAGCTGAGTCCAGTTTTAAAAAATTCATCTACTAGATCTACAAAAGAGGAAGCTGATAAATAATGTGGCCAGAATCACAGAGGCCTGGTCTACACTAAAAGGGAAAGTCCACTTAAGATCCACAACTCCAGCTACGTAGTCGGAGTATCTTAAACGCACCTTTGCTCCTTGTGGGGAACTGGAAGACTGGCACTGATGGGAGATCCCTTTCAGTTCAAATTAGCAGGTTTTCACTAAACTTGCTAATTTGAACCCCAGAAGTTTGACTGCGGCAGCCTAGATATTCTCCCTCTAGAAAGAGAAGGTATTCCAGAGTAACTTTTGTCGAGAGCATTTCTATGAGTCTGTGTATGTGAGGGATGACTATTTCTCCCTCATCCATAGCAACTCTTGCTTTAAACCATGGAGGACTGTATCCAGTCCTCTCAGGAATCCATTTTCCAAATGTCACTGTTAATTTGTAAATAACTTTCTAATTGTTGTTGTTAAACAACCCTTTCAGGCCAACTGTTTATACAAGGAAATAGGTATCTGCTAAAATTCCTTAAATTATCTGTTAAAACATTGAGATAATTTATCAACATATCTCCACATATCAAGCCTGATTTTTCACTTGCAGGTAATCTGTTTATTTGATAATTAGTTAAAGTCCTATAAATAGGACTTCCTCAAGTATAGTGCATAAAAGTCTTTCTCTATCCATATTTTTACTGCTTCACAAACCAATTCCCTGAGTGCTAAGAGAACTTTATGAATAGCAGTACAGAGGAGATCCAAGAATACTGCAATGCTGATTTTTTTTCCTCCCAAAGACATGTAAGAGACAGGAAACTTAAAAATTATGTCAATTTAATCAAGAATGTGCTTGCCCAAAAGAATCAGTTTGCATAGTTTATCTTTTAAAGGCATATACTTTCAGAAAGCTTATGCGGTGGTTGTTTTCAAACACACTTAAGAGTAAATTGTACAATTAGCACAGAATAGTACAAATAGTTTGAGTTGTTTTATTAGCACACATGACACAAAAGCTGGGTTCATGTTAATGTGACAGTATTGAGTAAAAAGAGGTCTTTTTTATTTGCAGAAATTCAAGTCAGTGCCTTAGTTTCTTGAAAATATTCTGACTTATTAAGCACATCAAGGTCATTAATAAAAACTAGGAATGAATATTCTTGAAGCTCAGTTACTGCACGTTGTTTGACATCAGTGCTGTTGATATACAAAAGGAAACTTGATGAGTCAGATATACCCTTCTGGTGTCAGGAAGTGGAAGGGCTACTGTGCCCATGTGGGGATTTATCCCTTCCCTCTCCTGAGAGGAGCATCCACTGTCTGCCCTTTCCTGGCTGTCCTTGCTGAGAGAGCAGCCTTATATTTTTCCAGGAACACCACAGGAGTCTTGCTTGTGGAGTCTGCTCAGGATCTGTGGAAAAATGTATCTTCACTGTTGCTCCCGGCCAACCTGCTCACACCCCCTTTTCAGTGACCCAACCAGTTTTGGAGCACTAAGCTACTTGTGCTAGGACGATGGAGGTCATACAGAGCGCTCATTGTGGTCCCAAACATCTCTGTCCTAAGCCACTGGCAATTTCCATTGTCTTATTATCCATCAAAATCAGGAGCAATCTGCACAGACAACTTAATAGAAGTAGTTCTTTTTCTTGAAGTAATTCCTTTTTGAAGCAATCTTTAGCAAAATTGTTTAATTTTGTTTTGAGAGGCAGGTGTCTCAATTTGTTTTTGAAAAGTCTCTTGGTGATCTAGGCTACCCTGGGGGAGAAAAGAAAGCCATGCACTCTGAGAGACATTATTAGCAGGAAGCGAGGTGTTAATGCAGTACTGAAATAGCACAACAAGCAGTCAGAGCAAGCTTTGTTTGCTCCATTCCTACCAGTGCCCAATGGTATGGCACAATCTTAATGTATATTAACAGACCATATGAGGAAAAGATTTTGCCTGAAGTTCTTTGGAAACTTGGTTTGGCATCAAGCCATCAGTACTCATAATCAGGAAGGAAAAATCTATATCCTCTCATACACACTCAACAATCAATAATTAAATGGAGTGAAAGTGGGGTGCTAATGGATAACAAGCTATTTTCTAATGCACTGAAATTCCTTAGGAATTGAATTGTCTAGTGTTGTGCCTGAACAGGAGATGATCTATAATTGCACTCACTATTGTACTCCACCCAGTAAATTCCCCAGGTGTTTGCTAGCAAGTGAGATTCTGACTGGCACACTTTGGAGGAGGAGGTGTGATACTCAGGAAAGGTAAACCTGAGATACCAACAATTGCATGTATTGATTCTGTATGCAAGTTACACGTTGCTTTACTCAGTTTGAATCTCCTGTGGTTTTTTTAAACTAATTTCAGTGCCAAAAAAATGAAAGAACTGGTGTTACTTTGACTTGGAGGTGAGATAGGAAAAATAAGAAGGAATATGAAGTAACTGTATTTATTGGACACCTTCAGTGATGCATGATCCACTTAAACTTTTACATGGCCTGGGTAGGCTGCAGGGCACATAGGCGTGCTCCCAAGTTCCAGCACCCACTGTAGATTGCAAGGCAGCTCCCCTTGGCTGGTGCTGCACCCCGATGGACAGTGCTGGTCGAGTGGGGACAGCAGCTGGGGGAAGAGCTGGCCCGGCTGTAGCAGTAATTGCTGCAAATTTGTAACCAGGTGAGTGAGCAGGAGGGGAAAGCCAAGCTGGGAAGAGGAGGAGGGAGCAGAGCTCTGGGGTAAGAGCCAAGCAGGGGACTCCTGGGTGCAAGGACCGTAGGGGGTGGAGGAATTGGGCTGGGTATGGCTGGGAAGGGAAAAGAGCGGGTGGGGTGGCAGAAGAAGGCAAGGATGGCTGGGAGAAAGGAGCCGAGTGGTGTCACAGGACTGGTGACGGGGAGGGGGACAGAGCTGGCTGGGGGGGGTGGCTGGACAGTAGGAGGAGCTGGGCTGCAGTGGCTGGAAGGGCAGAGGTGGCTGGGAGCCAATGAGGGGAATGAGGGTGGGAGGAGCACTTCTGGGCAGGTGCGAGTTGGGGCTGTGAATGACCAGCCAGGCCTCTGACTGAGGGGTGGTGCTCAGAGTTTCTCCAGGTAGGGGGTGGCTTGCGGCTTTCTCTCAGGGAGTGGAGCCCATTGACTGTGGTGTCCTGGGTCTCTGAATTCCTGTTGGCGAGCCTGGGAGCCAATGAGGGGAATGAGGGTGGGAGGAGCACTTCTGGGCAGGTGCGAGTTGGGGCTGTGAATGACCAGCCAGGCCTCTGACTGAGGGGTGGTGCTCAGAGTTTCTCCAGGTAGGGGGTGGCTTGCGGCTTTCTCTCAGGGAGTGGAGCCCATTGACTGTGGTGTCCTGGGTCTCTGAATTCCTGTTGGCGAGCCTGGAGATGACTAGAAATTCCAAAAGGGCTAAAAATGTGTAGTCTCTTTGTAATTTTTGCCCATAGAAACAATCCGGCACTCTTTGCACATGAAAGTCTGCTTGGGAATCATATGTGCAGGAAATACAAGACTGGGCTATGACTTTCTTCTGCAATTGTTTCAAGTTTGGAGACAGGACGTGCCTTGGCTTTTTCTGAATATCAAAATGAAACACATATAGGCATGGGACACTTCTATTAGCTTAAGTATTAAAATATGCATTAGGCTAAATATCTCCAACCATAATTAACCACTCATTTCATATATTACATAGCCCCTCTCCCCTGCATTGGTGCTTCATGGGTCATTAGTTCATGTTCTTTGGATTTTCATTTGTCAAATATAAAAAATACCAATACTTACTCAAAATATAGAGTGAGATCCGTTGCCAATATTGACTGCTTTAGAAGCTGCATAAGGTCACTGTATTCCTTGGAGGACAAGTTAGCAAAGATGTTGTGACCCTGTAATGAAAAAGAGAGAGAGAAGGTAAATGGCTAACAATCATTGTAGATTTTTAAAAGGTTTCTAATGCTGTAAACTGCCCCATTTTGCTACACAGAAGGGTTTTTTCCCCCCGAATCATGGTAAAATCATGACAAAATAATAAAGTTAACGCTACTGAGATTACATTAAGACAGGAGATGCTGACCATTGTAATCAAGAAGCTGGGTTATGTTTCTTAACACTGCTAAAATTATAGTCTCTTACAAAAAGATGTATTCTTTGGTCTGATGCTGCACAAGACTCGGTTTATGGAGGAAAAGCTCCATATGGATACATCTCAATCTTCTCCTTTTAGCAAGTGTTTTTGGGGCTGCACTTTGTGGCTTTTTACTTGTGCTGCCAACAGATTTATGCAAGCTGCTGTTAGAGCCATCAAAGACACTAAATCAGATTTTAGTTCAAAATACAGTCTCTGTGTTCACCCTGTTTTCCCACTATCTCGTAGTACAGACTAAAGAAGCTAAGTTTGTGAAGCTCTAGACCTTGTGGGCCCCATAAGAATGCACTTTTTAAAGGACTGGGAAAGCTTATGATTCTAGAAAATGTTTTACAGCCAGAATGAAAAGGAACAGTTTGTTGCTCTTTTGGAAAAGGAAGATAATACTAAAAGGCTGTGTCTACACTGGCAAGTTATTCCGGAAAATCAGCCGCTTTTCCGGAAAAACTTGCCAGCTGTCTACACTGGCCACTTGAATTTCCGGAAAAGCACTGACGATCTAATGTAAAATCATCAGTGCTTTTCCGGAAAAACTATGCTGCTCCCATTTGGGCAAAAGTCTTTTTCCGGAAAAGGGCCAGTGTAGACAGCACAGTAGTGTTTTCCGCAAAAAAGCCCCGATCATGAAAATGTGCTTTACCGGAAAAGCGTCCTGCCAATCTAGATGCGCTTTTCCAAAAATGCTTTTAACAGAAAACGTTTCCGTTAAAAGCATTTTCAGAAAATCATGCCAGTATAGACGTAGCCAAAATGTTATAGTTAGAGATGTGTCAAATAAGGGGGAACAGAAGGCCCATCGTTCCTCCAGAAAATACAAACTGAGTGAAATCTGCAGTTGAACTTGGCTGAACTTTAAGCTAACCCTAGACTTTATAACATCAGTTACATATGATTACATTCACATATTAACATCTTACTTAGGTATTGCTTCCTAGCCTTAGATACAATGATGTTTTTATTAACTGAATCTAATTTTGATAGTTAGCTGTAGTATTATTTTCATATTCAGTATGCACTGCCATCTAGTGTTTAGGAAGATTAGAACACTATAAAGAAAACAAGAGCTTTCCTTAGATAAGAGACATCTCTTCTTTCTCTAAGGATCTTATGGCTTGTCTTCACTTGCCCAGAGATTCGATCTCCTGTGGTTCAATTTAGCTGGTCTAGTAACGACCTACTAAATCAACTGCTGATGGTGTCCCCATTGGCCTCGTACTCCACCAGGCCATGAGGAGTAAGGGAAGTTGAGGGGAGAGTTTCCCCCGTCAACCTCCCTCAGTGGGGACACCGCAGTAAGTCATGTAGCTGAAGTAGAGCGTCTTAGCTGGACTTTCTCCCATAATGTATACCTGGCCTTAGTCTTGTAAAAGATTCCCTTTCACCTGTGTGTTGGGAAAGGTGTGTAGGGGGAATTCTAGAAGATATTTAATTAAAAACTACAGCTTAGGTATGGTGTACAAAGAAAAGACTAATCCAGTATGTGTTCAGAAAAGAGCAAATCATCAAAGTATAGAATTACTAGTACATGTGATATATTGTATAATAAATAACTTACAAAAGGCTTTCCCTTTATATTCAAGGTTTTGTTTGTTGAACTACTTCATAATGTATAAGGCAACATCACTACAGCACAAAACCATGATAACGTGTCAAAGGTGCCCAAGAGCAAATTCAGGCACCATTTTCTGTTCAGGCTCATAGAAATCTAAAGAAATAATACAATATGCTTTGACACTTCCCTCTAAAAAACACAGACTAGAATATTAAGCACTAACTTATGAAGTGTAATCTAATTTCAGTCCAGTAGAGTGAGAGGTCTACATCGTTGGTACAAACGTATATAACTAAATTGACCTCAATGGAGTTATATCTACTTGCAAAAGCAGAGGATCTGGATTTGTCCTTTCCAGTTTGAGTGTTTTTTGGTTCCATCTTTCAGTTTATCCAAACAAGTAACAACATGCAGAATGTAGGGCTTAAAATCATAGAATGAATTGTGTAGTTGCCAGGACAGATGATGTTTGGATAATGAAACAGGAGTGAGCTGGGTAAGGGAAGAGTTTGCTCAGGAAGGGAAGATGTTTTTTGTAGATTTGTGGGAATTTTTTAGGTCCACAGGTGCCATTAAATCATGTAATCTGACCTCCTATATAACACAAGCCCTCCTGTTTTGAGCCCAATGTTCTAGTGCAGTGTTTCCCAATTTTATTTGGCCACAGAACCCTTTTAAACTCGAAAGAACCACTAATAACAGTCTGGTATATAACAGGTGATCGTACCACTGACTGCGCGCAGCACTGAGTAGTGACATCGTCATCTCTACTCTCCAGCTAAGCTGGCATTAAAGGGACACTTATTGTGGCAAACACAAATGAAAACTGTTTTCAATAAAATTAATAAATTCTTAAATATTAATTATTTTTAATCATAAAATTTTATGTTAATGGAATTTTCTTGCGGAACCCTTATTTTCACTTCGCAAAAACATGGGGTTCTGCAGAACACCAATCGGGAAACACTGTTCTAGTGGAACAAAAGTTATATTTTCCAGAATGGCATCCAGTCCTGATCTGAAGATATCAAGAGATGGAGAATCCATCACTTCCCTCAGTAAAATGTTCCAATGGTTAATCATACTTCTTGTTTAAAAAAAAAAAAAAAAGAGAGAAAAATTATGCTTTGTTTCTCATTTGATTTCAGCTTCAAGCCATTGGTTCTGATTATACCTTTCTCCGTTCAGTGAAACAGACTGGTATTTTTTTCCAAAGGCATTAATCAAGTCTCCCCTAAATCTCCTTTTTGATAAGCTAAACAGATTGAGCTCTTAGGCCTGGTCTATACTAGGAGTTTACACTGAATTTAGACACATATGGTTGATTTTCTAAAACGATGTATCAACACTACCAAGCTTGTCTTGTCTTAACCTCAAGGGCCAATGAAGTCGATGTGAATTGCTCCTGATTTCACGAGGAATAATACTAATCCCAACCTTGCCTGGTTGAGTTTAGGACAGTGTAGACACACCGCTGGTGAAAGTTGAGGCTGTTGGCCTTTGGGAGGCATCCCACTCTGGCCAGAACTTATGCCTTTAATGCTCTCCAAGTAAACAGGAAAGCCCCGGGGAAAGTTTGAATTTCATTTTCTGTGTGACCAGCATCACAAGCACACCTCAGAGTGAGCAGCACACTGTGGCACACATGACCATGACTTCTAATACTTCCATGATTTCCAATACTTTAAGTCCCATGTGCTCCAGTTTCCAGGTGCGCAAAAGAGCACCAGCATGGAGTATGCGGGAGTTCTTGGATCTCATCGAGGTGTGGGGAGAGGAATCTATTCTCTCCGAGCTCCAGCGAAAGAAATGTGGACATTTACATGAAAATCTCAAACTCCCTGGTGGCCAAAGGATATGCCAGGGATACCCAGCAGTGCAGAGTCAAAATGAAGGAGCTAAGGCAGTCCTACCACAAGGCAAAGGAGGTGAACGGACAATGTGGTGCATCACTGCAAACATGCTGGTTCAATGAACAGCTGGATGCCATACTGGGTTGTGGGGATGTAGTTGAAATGCAGAAGATGATTGTGAGGTTGAGGAAATTAGGTGGTGTACCACAATCATTCCTTTTATGCCTGAATCTCCTATCAGACCTGGATGCTCTAGGCAGCCATTTGTGCTTTGTGCTTCTTATTATTCTTTTGTTATTCTCAAAGAGTTAGCTGTTTGCTCAAGATGGTACAGTGTAGGAATGCACTGTTGACTTTCAACAAGTTCTGGGACAGGTCCCAAGGCCGGCCACCTGGCATGAGAGTGCAGGAGCTCTTGGGAAGATCACATAGCTATCTATGCTAAATATTTCCCACCTGATAATGCTAATTAGTTGGCCTGGGAAAATTTGCAAAGTATCAACAAGCTAATTATTGGATCTGAGAAAATATGCAATGTATCAACAATATTGTTAGGTTCTCAAAATACCAGGTGGGATTACTGTAGATCCAATAGTATATAAAGGCTGGGAATATTCCTAACATTGGAACCTCAGCGTAGACCAAAGCTGCAGAAGGTGCTATGCACTGGCCACTGGGGTCCATCCGCTGTCCTCCTTCAGGGGGTTCCCAGCAGCAGAAGGGACATAGGCATTGCATTTTATTCTGAGGTTTGCTTAGGCTTAATAAGCATTGTCCTTTCTTAGTAAGCATTGCATTTCACTTTAAGATAGGCTTAGGCTTAATAAGCAGGGCTCGACAAATGCGCTCGCCCGTGGCGAGTAGATTTTTCTAGCTGGTGAGTGCAGGGGCAGACTGGCCCGGAGGGTGGTTGTGATGGGCTGATTGAAGCCCGCACTACGGGCGGCGCGGCTCCATCTGATCCGCCGGTCGGCGGAGGAGCACAGCGCCACTGGGAAGGGGGAAGCGCGGCGATTCTTTCCACCGGGCTGCCTACGTGCAGGAGGAGGCGAGGCAAGGTGGGGTGGGATGCTAGGACGCTGGCGTGACCTTGCCCCGTTGATTTTAAAGGGCCGCGGCAGCTAAGCTCTGGCCGCGTGACCCTGGGAGCTGGCTGCGGCGTGCAGCACAGCCAGGCCCCGCCTCACCCCGCAGGCTCCAGTCCTGCCCCCCCGCGGGCTCCAGCCCTGCCATGGCCCCAGACCTCCCTTGTCTCCGCGCCACCCGTTCCCCATGCCTCTCCTGCTCCCCGGACCACCTGCTCTCCCTCTTCCCTGCGACCCTTTAGCTCTGCAG